CCCCCCCGTCTTAAAGGTGATCGTCTTCGTGTAACCTTCATCTGCTTCAGTTCTCAGCCAAAAGCTGCATAATGAGTTCCAAAAACATCTCTGAAATATGGAAATGGCACTTCTCCACTGCAAGAATTAACCTCAATTAAATCATATCTCTATTAACCGTAAACATCAGGCTAATGTGTTTCACATAAAAGCTTTCATCACTGTATCCTACTCATAACAGTTTGCCAGATTTTAAAAAATGCCAGTGGAAAATTTTAAATAGTCCAAACGAGTGCTGGCACTACTTTGCATTTACAAATATTTAACACAAAAATGGCTACATGCACACATATCTTTAAGAATCCTGCTTGCGTGGAACCTACAGTTGGCTGATAGTCTGTAAATGAATACAAATTTGCATTCAGAGAATCTCAGAGAAATTGGAAAACTAAATTTAGTTTATAATGCATGATGAAGTGAGGGGCTATACAGTAAATGTATTTCCTGTACATATATGGACATTTACCAAGCAAGTTTCCACATTGCTGATAAAGCCTCTTAATGCTGTCTCAATCTATACGTACTTCACAGCATTCCAGAGCTTTAAATCCAGTATCTGTGCAGACATCTGTACACTGATGCACGTGCTTCACATCAGCCAGCAATAGTTGGCTTTGAACGACTAATAGCAACAGAGTAAGCTCATCCAGCTGAGACCATGTCTGAGTCTACAGTGTTCAAACACCGGAAGCATCCAAAAAAAGAGGAAGGAAACTCCGATCTCACTTCCCAATAGAGACAAAAACTCTGCACTACAGGTCTAAAGTTTAAGAAAAAAAAAAGTTGCTGGTTAATTATTCAAGTTGCTTATTCTGTTTTTAATTGAAGTAATAATTGGTTTTCAAAATGTAATCGCAAGTCTGTTTATAAAAAGGGATTCTTTCATTTTTACCTTTTCCCCCTCATTCACTGTGTCTGCTTATCAATCATGCAATTAATTTGTTTTCTGCTGTTTATGTTTTCCATTTTCTGATTGTCTTACGTTAATTAGATTAAGTTTATGTATTGGTTGGTCAGGGCAATCAGAAACTGATTGTTTTGCTACATGTTTTTTTTCTTGAGTTTTTTCATGAATTATATAAATGCAAATGTAATTAATCTGTTCATAATTGTTTTGTTTTTCCTTTTTACTTCTGGGAATATTAACAAATTAAATGTTTAAATTGATGTAATAGTGAAAAGACTTTGGGTTGTACAGTTTGCGCGTGCAGCGCCTTTTGGGAGCAAATAAACTGCACCCTTAGTTATTTCTCATTTTCCTTTAGCAGCATTACAACATTTTGATGCACTCCGCATCAACCTCGGAGCATTGTCACGGATCATTTCAACCACCACCCTTTCTGTCAACACCGAGCCAAAACAAGAAGCTGCTAAACCTTTTGTTTTACAGCCATCCGTGCACCGTGATGCCATTAACAAAGCCTATCATTTTGTTTAATGTCATACTCACCTTGTGTAGGGGGCAGCCAAGCCATTTAGCTCCTGGGAGGTCGGGTAAAGGCCCATTCATAGGTGACACCTGTTTTTGCTCATTTCCCCCCCCCCTCCTTCCGCCATAATGTTTAGGAAGGATCACTCGTAGATGATGCCATCCTTCTGGAATTTGGGCAGGAAGCTGGAGAAGTCGCAAAAGGAGGGCAAGACATGAGAGCGTAAATCAAGATGGGGGACAGAGGAAACTAACTGAGGAAGTTCTCCAGATTTAACATCCTCTCCATTTGTCAGACATCTGGAAGCAGGGTGTGAAGTTTTGACCCTCATAAAACTAAACAGACTCAACAACTCCAACATCGTTGACATGTAACAAATATTATAAATGAGTAACAAATATTAGTGTTTACTACTGTAAATCTGCAGAATTTGTTCATTTGAGGAAAAGAACGGCTTTAAAAAAATTGAATGTATTTGTCATTGTCCTGAGATGAGATGTTTATCACAAAGTGCAGGTCTCTCTCAAAAGGTTGACTCTGTTCATCTGGACGTAACGTTTTCGTCACTCATCCAAGTGACTTCTTCAGTCTCAGCTGACTGCAGGTTTCCCCAACCTTATAAACAGTACATTTGCATAATGATGCAAATGTACTGTTGATGCATAGTTTCAACAATGGGCTGGGAGATCAGTTCCTTGATCATTAATATGCAAATACTCATGACCACTGATCAACAACCATTAATCAGCAACCACTGATCAATAGCCATTTACAGAGAGTTGGGGAATGGCTGCAATCACAGCACTGATGGTGAAAGATGTACCCTCAGTCCCCCTCCTCGATTCAGAGATGGTCTTTCCCTTTTAACGTAAATGGCCTCCTTGACTCCGCGCTCAAACCAGCGTTCCTCCCTGTCCAGGATGTGTACATCCTCATTGAAAGAGTGTCCACTGGCCTGTAGGTGTAAATAGACTGCAGAGTCCTGGCCTGACAGAAGAGCTATCTCGTCAGGCCAGGACAATAGTTGTTGATCAATGGTCATGGGAATTTGCATATTAATAATAATCAAGGAACTGACCTCCCAGCCCATTGTTCATTCAGTGGTGCTGGTTTCAGTCATTATGCAAATGTACTGTTTATAAGTTTGGGGAAACCTGCAGTCAGCTGAGAGTGAAGAAGACACTTGGATGAGTGACGTAACGTTTCTCTCACTGAAAACGTTACGTCCAGATGAACAGAGTCAACCTTGTGGGATTTACTTACCTGGATGATCAAGCATGCATCAAGACAAAGTGCAAGTCTGTTTTAATTGTTATTAGTTGTTGTTATTCCATTGGTAACTTCCATAATTTTCCCTCAACCTTTTAAACGTGGTGTATAAATTGCATTTTAAAAAGATCCTTTCATCTATTTTCTTTGATTTATCCAAATTAGCGGTGGGGGGGTGCCGAAGTCTGTCCCAGCTGTCAAAAGGGGAAAGGCGGGATTAACCCTGGACAAGTTACAAGTCTAATGCAAGGCTAACACAGAAAAACTAAGAACCATTCACACCTGTGACTGATCTTAGTTCTTGTTATTCTGCTTGTACTTTTCCCTCATGCTTTTATAAATGCATTTTAAAAAATGTTCTTGTCGTTTGGTTAGTTTCAGCTGTTTTCCAACTCAAACATCAAG